GTTCTAGTTCTTGTTCTCAGTTCTGTTCTAGTTCTGTTTCTAGTTCTGTTCTAGTTCTGTTCTAGTTCTGTTCTAGTTCTGTTCTAGTTCGTGTTCTAGTTCTGTTCTAGTTCTGTTCTAGTTCTGTTCTAGTTCTGTCTAGTTAGGTCTAGTTCTTTCTAGTTGTGTTCTATTCTGTAGTTCTTTAGTTCTGTTCTAGTTCTGTTCTAGTTCTGTTCTATGTTCTGTTCTGTTCTGTTCTAGTTCTGTTTCTAGTTCTGTTTCTAGTTCTGTTCTAGTTCTGTTCTAGTTCTGTTCTAGTTCTGTTCGTTCTGTTCTAGTTCTGTTCTAGTTCTGTTCTAGTTCTGTTCTAGTTCTGTTCTAGTTCTGTTCTAGTTCTGTTCTAGTTCTGTTCTAGTTTTGTTCTAGTTCTGTTCTAGTTCTGTTCTAGTTCTGTTAGTTCTAGTTCTGTTCTAGTTCGTTCTAGTTCTAGCTCTGTTCTAGTTCTGTTCTAGTTCTGTTCTAGTTCTGTTCTAGTTCTGTTCTAGTTCTGTTCTAGTTCTGTTCTAGTTCTGTTCTAGTTCTGTTCTAGTTCTGTTCTAGTTCTGTTCTAGTTCTGTTCTAGTTCTGTTCTAGTTCTGTTCTAGTTCTGTTCTAGTTCTGTTCTAGTCTGTTCTAGTTCTGTTCTAGTTCTGTTCTAGTTCTGTTCTAGTTCTGTTCTAGTTCTGTTCTAGTTCTGTTCTAGTTCTGTTCTAGTTCTGTTCTAGTTCTGTTCTAGTTCTGTTCTAGTTCCTGTTCTAGTTCTGTTCTAGTTCGTTCTAAGTTCTGTTCTCGTTCTGTTCTAGTTCTGTTCTAGTTCTGGTCTAGTTCTGTTCTAGTTCTGTTCTAGTTCTGTTTCTAGTTTCTGTTCTAGTTCTGTTCTAGTTTCTGTTTCTAGTTCTGTTTCTAGTTCTGGTTCTAGTTCTGTTCGAAGTTCTGTTCTAAGTTCTGTTTCTAGTTCTGTTCTAGTTGTCTAGTTCTGTCTAGTTCTGTTCTAGTTCTTCTAGTTTCTAGTTTCTAGTTCTGGTCTAGTCCTGTTCAAGTTTGTTCAAGTTTTGTTCTAGTTGTTCTGTCTAGTTCCTAGTTCTAGTTCTAGTTTCTAGTCGTTCTGTTCTGTTCTGTTCTGTCTGTCTGTTCTAGTTCTGTTCTAGTTCTGTTCTAGTTCTGTTCTGTTTAGTTCTGTTCTAGTTTCTGTTCTAGTTCTGTTCTAGTTCTCTTCTAGTTCTGTTCTAGTTCTGTTCTAGTTCTGTTCTAGTACTGTTCTACTTCTGTTCTAGTTCTGTTCTAGTTCTGTTCTACTTCTGTTCTAGTTATGTTTTAGTTCTGTTCTAGTTCTGTTCTAGTTCTGTTTTAGTTGTGTTCTAGTTCGGTTCTAGTTCTGTTCTAGTTCTGTTCAAGTTCTGTTCTAGTTTTGTTCTAGTTCTGTTCTAGTTCTGTTCTAGTTCTGTTCTAGTTCTGTTCAAGTTTTGTTCTAGTTCTGTTCTAGTTCTAGTTCTGTTCTGTTCTGTTCTAGTTCTGTTCTAGTTCTGTTCTGTTCTGTTCTGTTCTGTTCTGTTCTAGTTCTGTTCTGTTCTAGTTCTGTTCTAGTTCTGTTCTAGTTCTGTTCTAGTACTGTTCTAGTTCTGTTCTAGTTCTGTTCTAGTTCTGTTCTACTTCTGTTCTAGTTATGTTTTAGTTCTGTTCTAGTTCTGTTCTAGTTCTGTTTTAGTTGTGTTCTAGTTCGGTTCTAGTTGTGTTCAAGTTGTGTTCAAGTTGTGTTCTAGTTCTGTTCTGTTCTAGTTCTGTTTTAGTTCTGTTCTAGTTCTGTTCTAGTTCTGTTCTAGTTCTGTTCTAGTTATGCCCTAGTTCTGTACTAGGTCTAATACAGTTCTGATCTAGTTTTGTTCTTGGCTCAAGCTCTTCATGAAATCGAAATGTGCTTTTAGTTTTCAATATAAAGTAAGTATTTTTTTGATGTTTCTATTAGGTATTTATTTTTCGTCGTTGATGTTTTCATTGTGCCACACGTTAAATATTTTTCCAAAAAAAAAAAAAATCACCAAAAAATTTATTAAATCCCAGAGATGTTATGTGTATGAGCTGTTTTAGTTTTTAGTTCCTTTGTTTCCTCTATGCAACAACATACTTCGCCATATTTATTTTTTATATAGAAAATTAAAAAAAAAACAACAAGGTGGGATTTTTTTTGCAACGAAAAAATCTCTTTTTGGAAATTTATTTGTTTTGAAAACAATACAAGCTGAATATTTTAAAAGGAAATAGGATTTTATTTTAAAAAGAGCATTGAAATAAAATAAATGCATTTTAAAGAGATTTACAATTTTCAATAAAAATTTACATATTTGCATTTTTTTGTTCGTGCAACAGAAGCAGTAGGAAAGGTAATCTTTATGCGGCAGATAAAGTATTTATTAAGCCCTATGGAGTCTTTGGATAGTGAAATGCAGTCGGTTGTAGTTTCGTTATAGAGTACAGGTATTTTGTTTTCTCGGCAGGCTGCTGGGCATTAACAATACCTCATTGCTGGGCAGACGTTTGTTTACTTTGGTGGCTTGTTTAAAATGGAATTTTTTCTTTGAATTTATTTTCTCTTTTGCTGGTTGTGTTATATTGATGTCGGTAGACTACAGAGAATGTGTGTGTTTTTTGGATAAAATCATTTGAAATTCATTGATGCCACTATTACCACTTGTAAATTCTTTAGTTTATTTCTTGTTTTTGTTGAAATTGTTTTTGTTTTTCCTGGTCTTAAATTTTGTGCATTTAAAAGCTAAATAAAAGCATCATTGCTTTTGAGAGTTTAAATTTAGTTTTCGTTTTATTTTGTGAGTTATGTCTAGGGTTAGATTTGTTGCTTGATAGTAAATTTACTCTTCAGGTATGTTGCAAAGTATTAAGGGTGAATATAAAAAGTGAAAAATGATGCAGACGGACAGGCGAGGAGTCTATTTATGCAGTCAATTGAATAATCGAGTTCAGTTCTAGTTCAGTTCTGGTTCAGTTCTAGTTCAGTTCTAGTTTAGTTCTAGTTCAGTTCTAGTTCAGTTCTAGTTCAGTTCTAGTTCAGTTCTAGTTCAGTTCTAGTTCAGTTCTAGTTCAGTTCTAGTTCAGTTCTAGTTCAGTTCTAGTTCAGTTCTAGTTCAGTTCTAGTTCAGTTCTAGTTCAGTTCTAGTTCAGTTCTAGTTCAGTTCTAGTTCAGTTCTAGTTCAGTTCTAGTTCAGTTCTAGTTCAATTCTAGTTCAGTTCTAGTTCAGTTTTAGTTCAGTTCTAGTTCAGTTCTAGTTCAGTTCTAGTTCAGTTCTAGTTCAGTAGTTCTAGTTCCGTTCTAGTTCAGTTATAGTTTCTAGTTCAGTTCTAGTTCTAGTTCAGTTCTAGTTCAGTTCTAGTTCAGTTCTAGTTCAGTTCTAGTTCAGTTCTAGTTCAGTTCTAGTTCAGTTCTAGTTCAGTTCTAGTTCAGTTCTAGTTCAGTTCTAGTTCAGTTCTAGTTCAGTTTAGTTCAGTTCTAGTCAGTTCTAGTTCAGTTCTAGTTCAGTTTAGTTCAGTTCTAGTTCAGTTCTAGTTCAGTTGTAGTTCAGTTCTAGTTTAGTTCTAGTTCAGTTTAGTTCAGTTCTAGTTCAGTTCTAGTTATTAGTTCTAGTTCTAGTCAGTCTAGTTCAGTTCTAGTTCAGTTCTAGTTCAGTTCTAGTTCAGTTCTAGTTCAGTTCTAGTTCAGTTCTAGTTCAGTTCTAGTTCAGTTCTAGTTCAGTTCTAGTTCAGTTCTAGTTCAGTTTCTAGTTCAGTTCTAGTTCAGTTCTAGTTCAGTTCTAGTTCAGTTCTAGTTCAGTTCTAGTTCAGTTCTAGTTCAGTTCTAGTTCAGTTCTAGTTCAGTTCTAGTAGTTCTAGTTCGTTAGTTCAGTTCTAGTTCAGTTCTAGTTCAGTTGTAGTTCAGTTCTAGTTTAGTTCTAGTTTCAGTTCTAGTTCAGTTCTAGTTCAGTTCTAGTTTAGTTCTAGTTGTCTAAGTTCAGTTCTAGTTCAGTTCTAGTTCAGTTCTAGTTCAGTTCTAGTTCAGTTCTAGTTAGTTCTAGTTCAGTTTAGTTCAGTTCTAGTTCAGTTCTAGTTCAGTTCTAGTTCAGTTCTAGTTCAGTTCTAGTTCAGTTCTAGTTCAGTTCTAGTTCAGTTCTAGTTCAGTTCTAGTTCAGTTCTAGTTCAGTTCTAGTTCAGTTCTAGTTCAGTTTCTAGTTCAGTTCTAGTTCAGTTCTAGTTCAGTTCTAGTTCAGTTCTAGTTTCAGTTCTAGTTCAGTTCTAGTTCAGTTCTAGTTCAGTTCTAGTTCAGTCTAGTTCAGTTCTAGTTCAGTTCTAGTTCAGTTCTAGTCAGTTCTAGTTCAGTTCTAGTTCAGTTCTAGTTCAGTTCAGTTCAGTTCTAGTTCAGTTCTAGTTCAGTTTCTAGTTTCAGTTCTAGTTCAGTTCTAGTTCAGTTCTATTTTAGTTCTAGTTCATATCTAGTTCCCTTATTCTTAGATCCTTCCCCTTCAACAATTTTCATTAATATTTTCGTAGAAATCTTTTTAATTTTGTTATCCACTGTTGTTTTATTTCTATTGCACAGTTTTCTTCTTATAAACAATTAGTATTTACAACTAGTAGTTTATAATATAATTTCATATTTTGTCCACATTATGTAAAATATATCTGTCTGTCTCTGGGTCTGGCATTTCCTTGCATCATGTAAATGTGCCACATTTTAAATTCTTAAAAATTTTAAAAACATAAAATATTTTAAATATAAAATATAATACGATTTACTGGTCACGTATGAATATGCTGAAAATTTTCTAGTTCAAATGGAAACTAAATTTCATCAGCATTTTAATTAAAAAAATAAAAAAAAAAAATAAATTAATGAATTTTTTAAATTCGAATAAATTATAAATCCTAATTTGTTTTCGTATGTTTAACAAAATTTTAATTAAAATATATTTTCTTAAAACAAATTAAATTATTACCTTTTAATTTTTGCCTTTAATATATCCAATAATGAAAATTGTCTTTTTTTATTGGCAAGCGAAAAAAAAATCACATAAAAGATATATTTATAGTTTTATATACAAATAACTATAAATTCAACCACTTCAACTCGAATTTAAAAATAGCACAAAAACACTTAAAATTCTATCTTTAAAACATGTACAAAGAAAATTAGCACATCTTCTTTTTTTGAAAATTCCAGTCAATTTTTATGGCGCCAAACAGGCCTCAAAATACTATTGTATATTTTTTTTAATTTTTATATTTTAGTTACACAAAAAGCTAAAATTGATTTTCAAATTTATACAATACATAGAATTTATTTTTTCAAAATTTTATTTAATATAAACACACACACTTTGTCTGTTCAACACCGTTTAGAAAAATTTCGAGTCTGTACGAGCACCCATTAGTTAAGCAACTAATGAAACAAACGAAGTGTATGTTTTTTTCGAAATTCTGAATTGGCAAAAAATTAAGAAACGAAATTTTAAATGAAAATGAACATGTATTTAGTATTTAGGGAACAAAAAGAAAAAAAGATTTAAAAAGATTTGTGTGAATAAAATTGTTCGAAATTAATTGGCTCTCAGAAAGAAATCGAGAGAACGGGAGAGCAAAACATTTAATTTTAATGTTCGAAAAAGAAAATAATGAAAATTAAAGAAAATGTAGTGTCACTCTACAATAATGGATGGATACTTTAAGCAGTCTAGTCATATGCATTTTAGGCTATTTGAAATAAATGGGTTGATTTTTCTAAAAGAACAGAATTAGAACTGATGTAGATCTGAACTGAACTAGAACTGAACTAGAACTGAACTAGAACTGAACTGAACTGAACTAGAACTAGAACTGACTAGAACTGAACTAGAACTGAACTAGAACTGAACTAGAACTGAACTAGAACTGAACTAGAACTGAACTAGAACCGAACTAGAACTGAACTAGAACTGAACTAGAACTGAACTGAACTGAACTAGAACTGAACTAGAACTGAACTAGAACTGAACTAGAACTGAACTAGAACTGAACTAGAACTGAACTAGAACTGAACTAGAACTGAACTAGAACTGAACTAGAACTGAACTAGAACTGAACTAGAACTGAACTAGAACTGAACTAGAACTGAACTAGAACTAGAACTGAACTAGAACTGAACTAGAACTGAACTAGAACTGAACTAGAACTGAACTAGAACTGAACTAGAACTGAACTAGACTGAACTAGAACTGAAAAAAACTAGAAACTGAACATAGAACTGAACTAGAACTGAACTAGACTGAACTAGAACTGAAACTACGAACTGAACTAGAACTGCAACTAGAACTGAACTAGAGGACTGAACTAGACTGAACTAGAACTGAACTAGACTGTAACTAGAACTAACTAGAACTGAACTAGAACTGAAACTAGACACTGAACTAGAACTGACAGACTGACTAGAACTGAAACTAGAACGGAAAAGAACTGAACTAGGAACTGAAACTAGAACTGAACTAGAACTGAACTAGAACTGAACTAGAACGAACTAGAACTGAACTAGAACTGAACTAGAACTGAACTGACGAACTAGACGAACTAGAACTGAACTAGGAACTGAACTAGAACTGAACTAGAACTGAACTAGAAACTGAACTAGAACTGAACTAGAACTGAACTAGAACTGAACTAGAACTGAACTAGAACTGAACTAGAACTGAACTAGAACTGAACTAGAACTGAACTAGAACTGACTAGAAACTGAACTAGAACTGAACTAGAACTGAACTAGAACTGAACTAGAACTGAACTAGAACTGAACTAGAACTGAACTAGAACTAGAACTGAATGAACTAGAACTAGAACTGAACTAGAACTGAACTAGAACTGAACTAGAACTGAACTAGAACTGAACTTGAACTGAACTAGAACTGAACTAGAACTGAACTAGAACTGAACTAGAACTGAACTAGAACTGAACTAGAACTGAACTAGAACTAAACTAAGCTAAACTAGAACTAAAATAGAACTGAACTAGAACTAAACTAATACTGAACTTGAATTTTCGTTGGTTGTGAAATGAACCCTTTTTCTTCTTTTAACATTTGAATTATTTTAAAATTTTGGAAATTTAATGATCCTTATGAAATTGAGACTAATAATTCATTTTTAGACTTTAATAATTCGAAAATTGAGGGTCATAAAGACTCAGCAAATTCATGTCTTGTTGTTAAATATCAATTGAATAAAAATCAAAATATATATGATTTTCATGAGCCTTTAAATGACACAACAGATTTTTATTGAAGAAAATTTTCTCACCATAAATTTTCATGTTTTTTTTGTACACATTTATCCAGCAACAGCCCATTTAAAAATGCTGCTACTTTAGTTGCCACAGCAGTGATTCCCAACACTAGGAGGAATGGAACTGAAATACGAATATATGCGTGAGTAGTTGCACTTCTAATTATAACTACGTGTACTAACGTACATATATAAAGATTAATATTTAAGAACCTCTGCTTTAAATATATGAAGAGACATGATGCTAGAAGCTTTTTATACGGATGTTGTTGTTGCTATATTTTTATTCCTTTTCGCTGGATAAAAAGTGAATTATTTGTTAAACAGTTTATTTTATTGTTTTGTCGTTGATGTTTTTCTCTATTTGGTGGTTGTTGTTGTTGCTGTTATTTTGTAGATTTTGTGGTGAAATATTTCACTTTTAGTGGGTCATGAAAACAATCTCAAAGACTGCAGACATCAATAAATTCTAGAAATCTCTTTCAGTGTAAATTGTATGGAAACAACGACCAGATAAAAAATAGCAAATACATACATACATACATACATATACTGCATATTCGTACAACAAATTGTAAAATTGTAAAGTTTTTAACCTGGAGTTTTAATATTTTTGTGGCAAAATAAAAGAAGCAGAAAAGGAAATAAAGACAAACACAGATGTAGATATAGAGTTAGGCCAGGTACATTTCTTGGATTCCTAACATACGTACGTATGAGTGCGTGTAAGCTTGGGCCATAGAAACATTAAATGGAAATTTTGTTATAGCGTCTCAATGCTGGTATAATAAATTAAAGTTACATTGTTCAAAAGTTCTTGATTGTAGTTCTGTTCGTTGTCATGGCAAATAAATTTTATTTAAAACTACAATTCTAATTTTTCCACTGCTGTCATTTACAAAATCTTCCTTTTTCATTTGTTTAATTTAAAAACAACTACACTTTGTTGTCTGTATCTTGAAATATTTATTTATTTGGAATTTTTAAAGTATTTTCCATTACTTGTTCTTGTTTTTAATTTGAAATCTAAATAAATTAGTTTTTAGACTTCATTACTTATGTTGTTTTGATTGGCCTTGTTATAATTATGTGTTTCGCTAGGTTTTCTTGCGTTTTTTTGCAAAATATATCTTTGACCTAAATTTAAATTCACACAACATTTGTTGAATAAATTTGAAGAAAAAAAAAAAAAAAAAAAAAAAAACAACAAGAATTTCTTCTAATTTTAATAACAATAAGAATATAAAAACATTTTTGAATGAAAATGATTCTACAATGAAAACCACAACATCCGGTTGATATTCAGATAAATAAAAACAAATTTAATGTCTCTTTGCTTTTGTTTAATAAACAACAACTTTTTGACAATACGAAATTTTTAAAGTCTTTTTAAATTTTCAAATAGACAACATAATCTTATGGTTTAAGTTTTTGGAAAAACAGTGGACATTATCATTGGAAGCTACAGACATGACATGCTAATTTGGAAATTAAAGCAAAACTTTGGAAACTTAAAAAAATAATAGAAAATTCTTTAAAATATTAAGATAAAATTAAGATATTAATGATCAATTAAACGAGAGATGAACAAGAACAGAGCAGAACTTGAAAATAACTAGAACAGAACAAGAACAGAACAAGAACAGAACTAGAACAGAACTAGAACAGAACTAGAACAGAACTAGAACGGAACTAGAACAGAACTAGAACAGAACTAGAACAGAACTAGAACAGAACTAGAACAGAACTAGAACAGAACTAGAAAAGAACTAGAACAGGACTAGAACAGAACTAGAACAGAACTAGAACAGAACTAGAACAGAACTAGAACATAACTAGAACAGAACTAGAACAGAACTAGAACTGAACTAGAACTGAACTAGAACAGAACTAGAACAGAACTAGAACAGAATTAGAACAGAACTAGAACAGAACTAGAACAGAACTAGAACACAACTAGAACACAACTAGAACACAACTAGAACACAACTAGAACACAACTAGAACACAACTAGAACATAAACTAGAACACAACTAGAACACAACTAGAACACAACTAGAACACAACTAGAACACAACTAGAACATAACTAGAACACAACTAGAACATAACTAGAACACAACTAGAACTGGACTGGAACTGAATATTTATACGATTTCTATAAAAAATTTATATTTTAAAAAATTTTCTACAAATTTAATGTTCCATTTCAATTAACCCAGTAAACAAAACATCCTGTTCATTAACTTATTCTCAAAAAAAACTCACATAAATAAACGCCAACATTTTCTGCTCACAATGTAAAGGTCAAAGTTATAAATTATTTGTTTATTAACATCATATGAACATACACATCACAATACAATTTTTTTTGCTAAAAAATTTTACAAAAAATATTTTTGTAAAAAAAATTGCTATTAATGCGTCATTGAGTTATATTTTCACCCGCTCTTTTTTGTAGCTTTTATTTTAAAATTATTTTAAATATTAATTAAAATTGTTGTACGTTTTATTTTTGATGATATGCTGCTCTGCTCAGCCACATATGTATCTCTTAGTGACATTATTATGTTATTTTTGAATAAATTTTGAATATTTTTAAATAAATTGCAAAAATGTATGGAATATTGTCAAATGTTTTTATACAGAAAAAAAACAAGACAATTTTTTTCTGCTTTTCAACTAGAGAAAAAATATGCATATTTTAATATATAAAATCAAAGAATTATTCTTTATTTTTTTTTTTCTTTAGAAATTAATTAACGGTTTATTTTGTTACAAGCAAATAATTTGTCAATTATTGGCAATAATTAAAAAGAAAAGAGAAACGAATAATAATGTTTGTATTAAAAAAGTGACAATTAAAATAAATCAAAATATGAATGAATGACAGTGATGGGAAAATGAAAAACATGGATAAATTTCGGATTATATGCTGTCAGTTTTTTATAATTATTTAAGACTTTATTATTCTCTTTATTTCTTAGAATGACATTGTTGTTGTCGAGATTGAAGTACATACATAGTTTTTGAAGAGAACTATGAAAAAATGTTAAATTCAACAGTTTATTGTTACTGAACTTTATGTCATAACTTCTGCTTATATTATTATAAACTTTATTGTATCTTTCAAATGTCACTAGTAGATTTTATGAT